TTAGAGGGTGAAGAGATGGTTATTTTTGAGGAAGAGAAGAGGGATGAAGAGAAGGTGTTTCTTGATATTCTAAATGAGTCTTTGAAAGACATTGCCTTACCAATTCATAAGCAAAATGATTCTTTGAATACACTTCAAGAGCAAAAAATTGAGACAAGGCTAACCATGATTGATTTTGTTTTCAAGACTATGGATGAAAGGAACAATATCATCTCTTTCATTTCTTTTCAAGTCATTCTTTTGGAGGATGATTTCATTGTTGTAAGTGAGGCATTAAATGAGAAAATTTGAAAGAGAGTCAATAATGATGTTCATATCCGGTTTTTTATTCTTTTGATTAGTAAGTTGACCCAACATCTTGCTAGAGACGTTAAACACTAGTATTCGTAGAGTTTCAAAACTCTATTCCTCCCTCATTTCTTTTTATTTTTTGTTCTTGTATACATTCTTCCATCCATCTTTCAATCTCCATTCTTGTTACCATCATTAGGGCTTAGCATAGGATTTTCTGCACTTTCATCTCAAAATGAGGCATTTTGTGCTAGTTCGATCGATCACAAGTGTACCTTCGATCGATCGAACATCTCTGTAGTCGATTCTCTGCAGATTTTCATGTCTCTATCCATCATTTGAACTTATTGTTTGATCGTTCCAAGTGCACTTCGATCGATCCGGTTGTCCCTGTGATTGATCTCATTTCCATACTTAGAAAAATTTTCGAAGCTCTGCAAATATCATGCTTCTGTCCTATTGTGCGAGCATTAAGATCGATCTAAGTCAGGATCGATCACAATTTTACCCCTTTGACTTTTTGACTTTTTCTTCTTTCTATTTTTATTTTATTTTATTTTTCATTTCCTTTTATTTTATTTAGTTACTTTTCTCTTTTGAAAAAAAAAATATATTTCTTTGCATTCTTTACTTCCTTATATTTTTACTTCTTGCATTTTTATTTACTTGCCTTTTTATTTTTGTTTGTGTACATATTTGTTTTGTCTAAAAAATTAAATAATAAATAAAATAATAATAATAAACACCAAAAAAAAAAAAAAAATTCAAAGTAGTATTTCATCTTGCTAAAGAAGTTAAACTTAGCACCCACATGGCACGTTGTGTCTTTTATCTCTTGTATTATACATGTTCATTTTCATTTTTATTTCTTTATCTTTCTTGCATTTTTGTTTCATTGTACATACTTTCATAAAAAGAAAAATATATAAACTTTTCACCATTGTGCCCTTATGAGTAATCATGTTACTTTCATATTTTCTATTGGACTTGATCTCATATATCTCTTTCATCTTGTGTTATATTACCTTAGAATGCTTGATTTACTTATCTTATCCCATTTGATATTTGATGTGAGTTTGCTAGTATGGTTATTCAAATATGTTGTTGATTCCAAGTTTGGGGGAGACCCTTTTCATATTGGATCATTGTCGGGCTTCATGCTTTCGCCACCACAGTATACTCTTTCCATTTCTTTCCATTGTTCTCATTGCACATTGAGGACAATGTGCGGTTTAAGTTTGGGGGTAAGGTGTCTTTGTTGCATTCTACTTAAAGTTGAGTTTTAAATGCATGATTGAGATTAGAGATCTATGTTAGCTATGATTTGATCTTTTGAGGACTATATTGATTAGAATTTAAAAATTGCTTGACTTGAGAGTCCAATACTCCTTGTATGCCTTGTGGATGCCATTCAGGAGCAAATTTTTCAAAAGATTGATATCTTGCTTGCACTTGTGGTCCATATGATCTTATTTTATGATTGTTTTGATATTCACTCTAGGATTCTACACTAGCACAGGTGCACACTAGCATTCATTTATGGGGTACATGCTTTGTTGATTAGTGATTTAGTTATATCCTAATTGAGCTAGTAGTGCATTGAAAACTTTCATTCTTAATAAAGGTGGATAACAAACCCTTTTCACTAAGTAGCCAGGATTCTAGTTTCATCAAGCACTGAATTTCTCGCGCCGAAAGGTGGAGGGCCCAAACTTTAGGTTAATAACTTAATATATATATATATATATATATATATATATATATATATATATATAAAGAAGAAAAAAGTTGCAAAAGCAAATAAAAAAGTGAGGACTTCTCCTAAAAGGTGAGAAGTGGGAAATGATTAGATGGAGGTTATTTTAATTTATAGCCTAATCGATTTAAACTTGTAAGTCCTTAAGGATGTTTAAACACTTAATACCCTAAAGTCGTCCGGTTTAGGAGTCATTGACCTAACGCTCGGCCTCATGGATCACTAGAAAGCTTAATAGATCAACACATTGCACCATGCTTCCATCTTTGATCCTCTTGGATAGTAAAAAAAAAAAAATCTTTGTCTTGATGATCGGTACTAGATTTGTGTGCTAGTTTGAGGCCGAATGTGATCATTTCTTTAGTTGGCTTAGATAACAACATATTTGATGTCGGTTCACTTAAAATGGATTCTAGAGTTGTTTTGATTTGCATGATCATTGTCTTGATGTGTGGAGGACCATATATACTTGGAAATAGTTGAAAAATTGCATACTTAAGGTAGTTTTCTCCCAATGCTTGTTTGGAATACTGGTGTCTCTTTAGTGAGAAAGAGTTTAATGTTTGTGGGTATCATTTCTAAAACCCTCACGAGACTTCACTCGTCCACTAGGGGTAACCTAGGGGTTTAAAAGGATTGTTGCATATGCTAAATGCAATCGTGTTCCCTATGAAAGTGGCATTATCCATTTATTACTTTATAGTTCATAGTTGTTTAGTTGTTCATTTCTTTCTTTACTTCATAGTTCATTGCTAGGGACTAGTAATATCTAAGTTTGGTGGTATGATGAGTGCTCAAATGTGATGCATTTTAGCACCTAAGTAAGGGTATTTTAGTCCATTTATCTATCTTAATTTTTTCGTTTTAGTACTTATTTGTGTTTTTGTCTATTTCAGGTCAAGAAAGTTAAAATAGGCTAATTTCTGTCCATTAAGGCCTTTTTGGAGTCAAACTAAGTCTTGGTGAAAATCTGAAGCAAAAGAAGGCTGATCTAGAGCAAAAAGGAGGCTGATACTGAAAACTGCCAAGTTGGATCGATCGAACCCTAATCGATCACACCATACCTCTGATCGATCACACCATTCCTCTAATTGATCACATTGTTGGTTGGATCGATCGAATTGTTCGCAAAAGTTATAAAAAAGCAGATCTAAAGCTCATTTCGAACCAACTCGGGTTGTGCTTGAAATGGGAGATCCTAGGGCCGAGTTCTCAGATTTTTGGGCTCTAAAAGCCTTGTATATAAGAGGGATTGAACCATTTTTGTAGGGAGATTCATATTTTTACATTGTAATTTCTATATTGTTGGAGCTTTTCTTTCTAGAAAGTTAGAGATTAGGGTTAGAAGAAAAGAGAGACGTGGAGGCATATATCAAGAACAAATCTCTAGATTGGCATACTCTCTATCTCTAGAGCTTCAAAGAAGAGGAAGAAGAAGATGGAGCTATGTTTGGAGCTTGCCTTTGAGGGTTTCATGAACACATCTACCTCCTCTATGATTGGCTAGATCTACACTTAAGCCCTAAGTCTTGTGTAATCTAAACCCTTGTATTTCTATTTTTGGGTATTTATATATATTGTTGTGATTAGTGGTTAGCCTTGTGATTGTTGATTTAATTCTTCCTTATGCTTCTCTATTTTAATTACATATTGTCTTATGTGTGATTATTTGGGAATTGATCTCTACACTAGATTCTCTATATTGGTTGCATGTCTATGTGTGATTAATTAAGGATTTAGTGATGGCCAAGTATGATTTTCATTGAATGAGTTTGTCAATTAATTTGATGTATTATACTAATGCTTGATGGGTTGTTCTACAATTTAATTTATATTTGTAAGTAGGTAGACAATCTATTCTTGATTTGATACTCCACACTTATTATTGCAAATTCCATGATTCTCTAGATTGATGTTTGCTCTCATTAGACCCATTTTTTAACTAATAGATGGATTATGCTTTTGTCTTGGTGGGTTGTTCTACACTTAGTTTACTTGTTGGTTAGCTAGACAATTCACTCTTGCATTAGATAGTTCACACTTTTACATGCAAATTGTGTTTATGTTTGTGGCCACATCTTGATTGCAACAATGTATTCCCCATTAATGGAAAGCAAATGGTTAATTACATGAGCTTAGTCGTGATTCGAACACCCTAAGACCTCTCTTCATATCTCTTAAATCCCTATCTCTCACTAGTTTACTTTAATTGCATTTTAATTTGATTGTTTTCTAGAGTAATTAATCAACCAAACCCTCTTTTGTAATATTTTGATACGCTAAAGCCGAAGTTAAATTCCAACACGTATAATCTCTGTGGACAATCCATACTCGCTATACTTCATTAGTTTTAGTAGTGGTTTTTATAAATTTTAATTTGACTAGAAAGGCTTCCGAAACCACATTCATATTTTGATCTTGCGAAGCGACCTCTCGCATTAAAAAGTCCATTTTCTAAACACATAGGAAGGGGCTTGTCATTATGCACAAGTCAATTTTTTTTTTTTTAAACTAAAACAAACCTAAACTAACCTAATCTAAAAATAAAAAAAAAATACCCAAATAAACTAAAAACTTAGAACACACAATAAACTGAAGAAAAAGAAAAAGAAAATAAATCAAATCAAACTAAAGTACAAACCTATAAATGCTAAGTTTAACGTCGATAGCTCGACAATATGCTAATTTTAACGCCGCTATCTCGATGTTAGGCCACTCCTTAGCCTGTATTCAATAACTCAACTGCCTCCCTCATCCCAAAACCAGTCCTATGGGTGATCATGAAATTCAAAACAGGAGGAACCAATGTGGTTCCATCAAGACCCAAGAAAGAATACTCAAGCTTATTCGGTGGTGTCTTAAGCTCAAGTTTGTGAGAAGACTTACAAGAAGGACAATGAGGACTAGAAATCAGGGGATGAGGATCTTTTGTTGGAAAGATGGTGACTGAATCCTAATTATTGACATCAATAAAGAAGCCCTTGTCTTTCTCTGAGGAATATGGAGTGACATTGAAGATGTTTAATTTGAGCTTCATGTTCCAAAAAGAAATATCTATAGCCCCAGTCTTACAGTTAATGTTGGCATTTGCTGTAGCCAAGAATGGATGACCAACGATTACAGGAATATATTTATTGGGATTATGGACAGGTTCTGTAACCAGGACAAGAAAGTCAACCGGAAAATAAAACTTGTCCACTTTAATGAGACCATCTTCAATTATCCCATGTGGTTGGTTCATAGATCGATTAGCAAGTTGCAACACCATTGATGTGGGTTTAAGCTCTCCCAAGCCTAATTGCTCATACATCGAGTAAGAAAGAAGATTAACACTTGCTCCAAGATCAAGAAGTGCTCTATCTATCACATTGTTTCCAACGATGCAAGATATAGTAGGAGCACCAGGATCTTTGAACTTACGAGAAGTGCTACGCTGAATGATTGCACTAACTTGCTCAGTGAGATAAACTTTTTTAGAGACTTGGCTTTTTGATTTTCTCTTTTGAGTACACAAGTATTTCAGAAATTTAGCATAAGCAGGGATTTGATTGATAGCATCTAGGAGAGGAATATTGACTTTCACCTGTTTGAAGACATCCATCATGTCTTGGATTTTCTCTCCTTGCTTACCAAAGTAAGAGGGTCCCTTAAGACGTTCAGGAAAAGGCGTTCTTAGCTCATAAGTTGTTTCAAGGTTGGGAGTAGATGAAGAAGTAACTTTACCTTCAACTCCTTGGGAGCTTGATGGAGTAGGATGTGAGGGAACATCTGTGGGATGTGGAGTTTGAAGAATGGGATTGATAGAAATCCTACGCTTCTCTTTTTCTACCTCTTTTTCCTCAACTTGATTATCAATGATTTTTCCACTCCTCAAAATAGTGATGGCATTAACTTGCTCATGATGAGAACTTGAAGGAGTAGTCTCATCAATTATGTAAGTTTACCTTTTTTGATTTGTAATTGGCTAACCTGGCATTGTTCCTTCCTCTCTTTAAGTTAACACTTTAACTATTTACCGAACTTGAATCTCTATCTTGGCTATAGATTGGGAATGAAAATGTACCAATTAAGTGTTGGAATTAAAATCATTAATTGCAGCCAAAACCTTCTCTTCAAATTCAGACGAGTACGTAAGAGAAGGAGGATCAGGATTAGCTTGGTTTCTAAATTGAGGAGGACAGTAGATGGAAGATTATTAAAAGAATTATTTTGCAGAGGGTTGGATGAATTATAGTATTGTCCCTTAGATTGGGGAACAGTATTGCCTTGGCTTTGATTCTGCCATGATATATTGGAATGATCTCTCCAACTAAGGTTATATGTATTGGAATATGGATTGTAACCTGAACTGGAAAATACAGCATTGGTTTGTGCTTGTGGATTTTCAAAAGATTAACCCATAAGAGGACAATTGTTAGCATAATAAGATGGACTACCATAGATAGAACACACCTCCTTTGGCAAAGAGGAGTATTAAGAAAACTAAGAGTACTGACAGCTGATAAGACTTGGTCAAACTTTTGATTTAACACTTTCATTTGAGTGGCAAGCTCTTTAGATTTTTCTGCTTCATATAAACTTTCAACTTTAAGGACACTGGGAGTGGACTTAGATCTAGAGGAAGAAGTATGTTGAACAAAATTTTCACTTAGGGCCTCAAACAGTTCCCAAGCGTCATCTAGGCTCTTATGCAAGAAACCACCATTACTAGAAGCATTTACCATCTTCCTATGTGGATCTTGTAATCCATCATAGAAGATTTGCACCAAATGCCATTTAGTAATATCATGGTGTGGACACTTTCTCAGAAGATCATTGTATCTTTCCCAAGTATCATGAAGTTGTTCTCCCGAGATTTGGAAGAACACCATGATCTCTCTTCTCATTTGTGTGGTTTTACCCACAGTGTAGTATTTCTTCAAGAACTCTCATTGCAACTTATCCCATGTGCTTATGGAATTATGAGGTAGGGAGTGCAACCAAGTTTTAGCTTTATCCTTGAGAGAAAATTGGAAGAGTCTCATCTTAAAAGCATCATCAGAGAGAGTGGACAACTTAGTAGTTGAACACAATTCCAGAAATTCATCCATGTGCTTATAGGGATCTTTAGTAGCAAACCCATGGAAAGTTGAAAGCATTTGGATCATAGCTGGCTTGATCTTAAAATGGGTTGCATCAGATTGTGGAAATTGAAAGCAATAAAGGATGTATATGAAGTAGGAAAGAAGTGATCCCTCAATTGTAGTTGTGGTAGAAGAACAGGTGCTTGTGGCACATGTGCCCCATTTTTATTATCACCATTATTAGCCATGTCTAATTTAGAGAATTCTCCTAACAATCTAGGCTAAGTTCAATGGTAACAAGTAAAAAGAAAAATTTCAAGCAAAGAAATAAATTTAAAAGAACTCACAAAAGGTTCTGAAACCGTAGCTTCTTCTCATTAACCTTCATCGCCATTTCTCATTGATTCCTGTACTTGAAAAGAAAAAGAAATAAGATGAGATAGTAGAAAGTCCTAAAACTATAAATTAAATTAAAATTAATCTCGAACTTAAGAAAACCGTAACACAGTCCCCGACAATGGCGCCAAAAATTGATGTGTATTTTTATTTATTAATAATAAAATACCACTCGCAATAGAACGAATCATTGTAGGATAAGGCTATGTTGAGGGTGTCGAACCTCAAGGACTATGGTGGTTTATCAAGTCTTCAATTAATACTATTTTAATTTAGAAAGAAGATTTGATTTGTTATGTTGTGATGCAATTCAATAACATAAAAGAAAATAAACGGAATAAAAGGATTGAGATCACGAGAAGAAATACTTAGGGATTGACTTCACCACGATCCTCATACTATGGTTAACTATTCAACCTTGGGATTTAAAGTATCATATGGAATTAAACTCAATAACATTCGTTTAATTCAGATTTAAAGAAAGATGTTCCATGGATTTCAATTAATAATAACCTATCTTCGGTTGGCATGAATTATCTACCTACTAACTTCTAACTAATTTTGCAGTATAACTCGTCTTCCCTAGTTATAGACTATGAAAACATTCATTCATGAAAAATGTTTGAACACCATTGCATGATCTCCATTCTTATGTCTGATAGGCCTCCACCAAATACCATCCAATATAATTTAAGAACAATTAAATCTAAGATAAGGTATTAATCATTCAAAAATTATGTAATCATTAAAAACCAATTGAATAAAGTCAATTGCCTATAATTATGCAATTAAAATACATAATATATTAAATTCCTAAAGTATAGAACAATCAAACCATAATATTCAGATTTAGACTACATTAATGCCCTAAGAGAGGAATTAGCTATTCATGATAATGCAAGATATTATCTGTGTTGTTGTGGTCTTCATAGCCATGGATCACTAAAACTCCTTTTGGATCTTCTTCTTCAAAACCCTAAAAACCGTCGTGAGAGAGAGATTAGTAACTATGGAAGAGAGAGATTTTTTGTGGCCTTCTCCTCTTCTTTTATAGTGGAGAACAAGTCTCAATCCCCTTTAGATTGGTTTTACAGCTTTTGGTAACAATTGGGCCCATAAGAAAACAAAGAGGGATGATTTTAAGTAATTCCCGCATGTATTTTTAACCTCCAGGACATCAGAGCTCGAGCTTTGGAGTCAGGGCTCGAGCTTAACCTGTCAACAACTTGTTCTGACGTTGTAACGCGATTTTGACACATTTAGAGCACGAATCTTGAGATGGCTATTAGAGACAAAAACATCGGACTTCAAGTCTTCTTTCCAGAGCCGCTAAGTTTGCTTAATTTTAAGTTTCGAGTCAAAATTTATAGCCAAAATACTGAGGTAGGTCCAGAGTTTTCAGCAATGCTCGAGCTCGGAGTGGTTGTGCTCGAGCTTTCTGAGTTGGGCTGGAGCTTTAAAGCTTGGGCTCGAGCTCTGGGAGCAAAATTCATCTAAAACGTATTTTTATTGATGGTACTCGATCCCTCCTTCATGGTGCTCGATCCCGAGGTGTTGGGCTCGAGCTCTAGGGCTGTGGGCTCAAGCTCTAGGTGTTAGTGCTCGATCCCTGAGGCTTGGCATGAGGTTCTGGGAGTTTGGATCAACTTTTCAATTTCGATGCATCATATGCTCGATCTTTTAGGCAAAGGCTCAAGCACCCTGTGGTTGGGCTCGAGCTTTGAGGGTCAGGGCTCGAGCTTTCTTGCCTTGGTGGAATTTCTTATTTTGTGCTCTAGCCATAGAACTGGGGCTCAAGTTTCTGAACTTGAAACTCTCCAAAATTCACCATTTTGACTTTCGGCTTGCTTTGAATGACCGGCAATGACTCGGTAAACTTCTTTATCATTCTTTTCATCATAAAAGCTCAGTTTTAACTGCTTCCTTGGGAAAGTACCTAAAAACACGAAATACACAGAAATCAGTCTAACAATGGATAGAAGTATCACTTTAGGTCTTAACATATGTATATTTAGGGGCTCGAATATGCAATATTCAACGCTTATCAGTGCTGTCTCGGCCATTTGACTATAACTCTGAGATGATACTTCCTTTAGAAGATTTGAAGGATCTTGATCATCATCAGAGTCAACAGGAAGAGCTGACAAAGGAAGGAAAGGTAAGTAACTGAATCTAAAGGGCTGAGGTTATAATAATGAGTTATTACCTTGTCTGGAACTTGTGCCTCTTTTGGTTTTCTTCAATGGAGAGGCAAGGGCTGCTTTAGTCTCAGTTAGTTGTTTCCTTTTCTTTCCACCTATTTTGGGACTTTTGAGAAGGTCGGTTCCTTGAAAGACAGGAATTACAAATTTGAAAAAACCAAGTTGGGTGGTAATAAGGGACGAACAATCTATTTCCCTAGTTTTCCCAATATAGGAAAACCACCATTTTTCAAAGGCAGGGTCTGAAGTTGGATTTTCAATGAAAGGTTTAACTTGGAAGATTTTCTTCAAAGCTTTGAATCTATTGCTCACAGTTTTGACAAAGTTTTCATCATTAAATTTTACACGAAGATGGAAGGTGCTGTTAAAAGAGGGACACGGCGGCTGTGGAATAATCTTTCGTAAACCAAACTACCGGGCAAGCTGAGAAGGGTTGTAAAACTCTACTCCAACTCTGCTATTTTTGGAAGAATATGGAGCGGTACTGTAATGAATATCTCTAGCCACCAAAAAGCTAGCCCATATTGATTTTTGTTCTTCCGATAGTTTCTTGGTGGAAATAGGGATAGGAGAGAGCCAAGATGGAGTTTGAATACCGAAAGAAAATGGAAGGAATTGTTGAGGAGTTCTGGTTTAGCAGCCTTGGTAGAAAAAAGTGAAGCAATCTTTGAAGGATTGAGGTTTAGGCATGACCGAAGCATAACTAAAAGAAATTAAAGCATTATTGGCTGAAGATCTAACTTTTGCCCCTAGCTCTGGGAAGTAAACCTGAAGCCAGAGTTGGAAGATCCAAAATGGACCACCCATTCTGGAAAAATCAGTCATAATCAAATCATAAAGACCCCTATAAAGATGGGCCAAGACTAGGGGAGCCAATGCTAAAGGAGAACCTTTCAACAAAGCAATGGCTACTTCCACTAGATCTTTGGTAACCTACAAGGCTGAAACATATAGCATAAATCGATTAAGCCATACAAGTAGAAAGGCAATGTGTTCTGCATCTTCGGTTTGAGGGGTATGCTTTATACAGGCCTAAAGAAAAGGGCCGTAAGTTGCTTCATAAGTTTTTGTACCAGATTCTTTGGTTGGAAAATTAAAAACAATGTCAGGATCATAAAGAAGATAATTTACTTCAGTACCAATGGGTTTTAAGCCAGTCAAGTGGCAAATATCTTTCAAGGTAGGAGATATCATGCCACAATTGAGATGCAAAGAATTTGTGGTAGAACTCCAAAAGAATATGGCAGCAAATGAGAGAGACTTATCTTGAATTGGGGGTACTTTGCTGAGCTGGATTGCATCATAAATTCCAAGTTGCTTCCAGCTTTCTTCCTTCAATGGAGTCATCCTATCAACCCAAGTGCTCCAACCTTAAAATGGCATAACCCAATTTTTTAGGTTGAAAATGGGCAAGTCGCTATTTGCAGCTTTTGGGAATTTTTTCAAAAAATGAAGGAAATCTTCTGCTAGAGGATAAAAGGGCGAAATTGAAGATGGAATTTTGGAAATTTGACGTCGCCAGGTAAGACAATGAAGGATTCCGAGTAAACTTGGTCAGCTGGAAGACCAGAAATAGCTCTGGCTGCTTGATGTCCATGGGTTGTTGGTAGATCAGAGGGTAGAAGTAGGTCGAAAGAATATTTACCTTTGGGAGCCATCTGAGGAATTGAAGGAACAGCTTCAAGAGAAGATGAAAGATTTGATATAGAAGGAAGGAGAGACTTTGCTTTGAAGGAAGAAGATGTCATAATAGATATGGAAGGTTGGCTAGGTTAAAAAGGGATCGAATGAAGACATGCATTTAATGTTGGTGGTTGTAAAAGTGGCAAGCCATTAAGTAAAAGTTCATGGTTGTCAAATCGGGAATAGTAATTGGTTGAGAAAGAATCTTGGTTGGATGATTGGATAAGGCCTTTACGGATATGTAGGAAATTTTAACTTTTAAATCTTTTTAGGCTTTATCCTGGAAGATAGAAAGCCTCAAAATTTGGGGGGCATAATGTTGGCACATAAAAGTGGCAAGCCAATGGTCAGCCACTTCAATGATAACATGGTATATTGAAA